CAATCAGATCAGATCAGATCAGTCAGTCGGTCAATCAATCAATCAGCAACACAATTCAACGCAGATTGACTGATGAATGGAATGTATTTACAATTGTTCGACGCTTATTTATGTATATGACGCTCTCATTAATCAGTTGCTCAATCAATCAATCAGTAATTTATGCATGTATAAATATAATCAATAGATTACTGATGCTTTAGGCATGTTGCTCTGGCAAATGTCATGCTTAGCCGATAGCCTCTGTCTCTGCCTGTGCCTGTGGCTGTGGCTCAAGCTCTGACTGTGTCTGTGGCTCTGCTCGTTGGCGACACTTTAGAATAAATTCTATTTTGAGTTCGACTCGATCCGATTCGATGTGTCGCAATCAGCGAACCGAAGGCGGCTACACATGCTATCAATCGTCAATGCCGCCAACATAGCAATAAACCTAATTAAATTTCAACGATTTCGATTTAGTTTCACTTCTTCTCCTGCCTCTTCTTATTTTCATTCTGTCTCTTTCTTTTTCTTTGTCTCGCTTGATAAGCGGCTGAAATCAGAGCAACATAACAGAATTTGCCTTAGCATAGGGCCCAAAAATACTCAAATGACGAAATCGAGTCTCTAATTAAAATAATCTCTTCGGCTAAGCTTGAAGCAGGCGAGAATGCACGACTACCAAATACTCGCTCAGAGCGCTCAAAAATAGATTTACGAGTCCCAACTGCAGTTTAGGCTTTTACCCTAAACATATTTTGATAACTGCCCAAAAATTATTGTACAAAACGTGTTGCATAACTCCAGGGGCAACTTATGTGGAGAAAGAAATTTTGTAATAATATAATTATAATTAGAGACAATAATTTCAAAATTATTTTTAGTTTAGAAATTTAGCAAAATACATTTATTTTTACTTTTAAATATAAAATTATTCATTAATAAAATTTATAAAACAAAACAAATTTTTTCTGAAATTTATTTGTGTGTGGAACAAATTGAAATATTAGTTGTTTTTAATTTATTTATATGATATACGTTTGAGCTCTTTTATACAAATATTTCAAAACAAAAATACAATTTATTTTAAAATTTCAATATATTTTTAAATTTTAATTGCTAACCGGAAATATTCAATGGCAAACGAATTTGATTGTTTTTTATACAATGTACGAAGCATAATTACTTTTGGAAGAGGGAAGAAGACAGAGATCCATTGGGGTTATCATGAGAGTGATAAGAGCACTCGTTAACCTTTCCCCAATTGCCAAATCTCACTAATCTGAAATTCATCTGCGATGACATAATAGAAACTAGAACTCGAATCCATTGAACTGTTCCGCGTGTGACCAGAGAGGAAAAGCCTCTACAACAAAAGCCCAACTCGCAAGGGTTTATCAAGCTCAATTACCGGAAATATAATGTGCAATAGACCCAAAGAAAATAGTATATACGTATATATCGAGGGGCTTTTGTTTTGGCTGATTAAATGTTACACAGCTGACCTAATTGTTCTCTATCCAGATATATGTAGTATCTATGTAATATATAATATATAAATATATACTATATACACATTATGAATCAGTTACAATTGCAGTTGAAAGTCAGATTGAGATTTGCGCATGCATGTCGTGCAGTTTGAAAGCCATTGCTTCAATTTAGTTTACTTGGAAAGGCATTGAGTGAATCAAGCTGAGAGCAATATATGTATGTATGTTATGTATGAATCGGTAAACAAACGCTCTCTTAAAGGAATTGTATACAGTTTGAATAGCTGTGCGTAAGGCAAGATATCATAAGTTAACTGGCAGTTTTAAACGAACTGCTTCTGTAAAGTTTTACAAGCATTAATTGAAGTTAGCAGAATATATATATATATATATATATATATATATATATATATATATATAGGAGGAGGTAGGAGTAAATGTTCCACAGTTTGAGAGCGATTGCTAAAGTAGAGTAAAGTTTGAATAAGCCAGAGCAACTCTTGCCGAACAGTTTGACAAGGACTGTTTCAGCAAAAGAGAAGAATTTTCGGCAATGACAACATGAAACACGCAGTTTGACAGGAATTGATGATATGTATTGATATATATGCTAAATAATATAATAAATAAATATGCATGCTTGATTCAATTCAATATTTAATTTTTTTGGTAAATAATTTTATAAGTATTTTTCAAAATTTTATTATTACTTACCTTTGCCGCATTCGCAAAGGACACAACGCTGGCAAACAGCCAGACTGCGCCAAGCACACCCGAGAGACCCGTTAGATCTCTGGGCAACAACATCATGGTCCTCAGCCTGACCACAAATCGAATTGGAATTTGGAAACTCGAACTGGAACTGGGGACAAACTTAAAATGTCACTGCGATAAACACACACGAAACTGCGAAAGATCAAAACATTGGAACAGTGAATAAGAAACCGTTTTGTTTTTTGCTTTTGTTACTTTTTTTGGGAAATTTTTATATATACAATTTGATAGAGTCTGATTGGTTTGCAGTTAAATAAATAATTGATATTTGGTATATTTGATATTTTGCATTCGAATTTGAATTTTTGCAGGCGAACTAACACAAAATACTGCTGCTGCGTGCGGGCTCGCCACTTGATTTGGTGCTGTGCTGCTGCTGCGTTCGTCGAGCACGACACACTCCCCACATGTGGCGATCGTCAAGCGTTCAAAATGCTACTAAAATCGCCCGGCACAAAAGAAATTTCAATTCGTTTGTCCACAGCCTCGGCGTTCGGCTGGCGCTCGGCTCCAGATCGACGCACGCACACATGCTCAGCTGGCGCTGCATTTGTGTTGGTGCGTTTTGTTTCAAGCGCTCGCTCGCTTTGAGCAGTAGGCAAGTTGGATTTCGTACGGGAACTGCGGAGTGGGGTATTGGTGCACAGCCTGTTGAATTTAGCACTTTGTTGCCTTGAAATGAGGAAACGACGACAACAACAGCAACAATTTCCCTCCATATTATAATTTCCCTACTTAGCTATTTAGTTTCTTGTTATTGTCGTCGTCGTCGCAGCAGCCGCCCTGTCCGATTAGGCAAAGGCTATTTTACATTTAGTACAACGGTCTGATAAGAGAGCCCGCTATAAGGTTGCGTATTTCCTGTTCGACTCATGAAAAGTCAGCTCGTTTCTCTCTTCTTCATTCTTTCTAATTAATTAGTACGCAGATTTAACAAAAATAGAACTTTTCAAAATACATATTTGTTGTACATTTGAGGTCAGTTTTGAAACGCACTAACCACAATCAAGGCTTTTGTGCGTTGTGTAAGATTCGATTGTTAGCATACACAACAGAGAGTGAGTGGGATGTCTGAGGGGTAAAGGGGCTGAAGGGAGGCTGTGTGGTATACATTGACCCACTGGTCCCAATCGAAAGCTTTCAGTATAGCTGGCTTACATCATTTTCGAGGAAAGAAGCAATAAACCTAATTAATATCCTAATATCCAAACAAATTCCTATTTTATTTCAGTTGTGCGATATTTTATATTCGATCTAAATTAAAAAACTAAAGTGATGTCATTATTAATTTAATGCATATCCTGAATACATTTTTCCAAGTCAATTACAAATAATTTGAATTCAAGTCAAATATTTTAATAAAACTATAAAATGACTTTTATAAAGCTTTAAGTTTTTTAATTAACATTTATTATAATATTTTCAATAAATGAATAGATTGATTACTTTATAGTATATAGAATGTACATGAAAAGTAATTAATTTATAACAAATTATTGTAAACACCACTTAAAGTTTAACGTACAAAATATTCTATTTATAAATCTCAAATCAGTCTTTCAAAAAGCAACAAAAAATATTCCGTTCTTATCAGAGGTTCTTAAGAATTTTGTTGACCGAAAGACCTGAATAAAAATCCAACACTGTGCAAAATTGAAGTAGAGCACATAAAATTGATAATAAAAATAAATTTAACAATTTATGTTATATTATATTATTTTATAAAATTCAAATCTTAAAATATCTAAAGTCAATAGAAAATATTTTATATATATTTAGCTTGTATCTATTTCTCGCAGTGTATTCACAAGCAGGACTTCAAATCAAGCACACGATGCTCAAGTCATGCCGGATCGAGCCCTAATCAGAACTTCAATGGCAATAGCAATAGCGGAACTCATGTACCCGATCTTTCCAATTGGGCTATCAGCTATCAGCCCCAAATGTGATTCAAGTTGTCGCCGCCACAGTAGGTGTTCGAAAGGGGGAGTAAAGGCAAAGGCAAGCAAGCAGCTTCAGCTGGAAATGCTGTAAGTGGAATCTTAGCTCATATCGATCCACTCCAAAAGAATAGTATTGAACGACTGACTCGAAAATACCCTCGCAACAAGAAGTCAAAAGGGCCTTAGGGATGTCCCATTGGAAGTTTATTTAAAATCAATATATCCCAATTATTGCAGAGCTTGATTAGCTATCAACAAGAGAGTCCTCCTATAAGAGAACATTGCATATTAAATTTGTCAATGTTCGTTTAAGGGGAAGTCCCATTCCATTTGTCATAGTATATTACTAATTTATTTTCCCATATCCACTTCCACTTCCACTTCCCGTATACCCCTTTTGTAAACAATACATTTTCAATGAGCATTTGCTATGGCAAAGAACAAAGAACAACAACTAAGTTAAGTAGCCGACTTAGTTTCAAACTTATCGCCCAGTTTCATTCATATTTATATTCCAGTTGGGTTAGCTGGCTCATTTCGTTGTTGTTGTTGTTGTTGTTGCTTCACCCATCCGTTCCACATGCTCCGCACACGCACACACTCACACACAGACGCCCAGTTCACACAGACGACACGGATAGTGTACGTGAGCCGAACGGCATTTGGCGCTCGTCGCTCTTCGCCCAGCCCACTCGGCTCGCCGATCGTGCATTGGTCGTGCATTGGGTTTTTGGTTGGATGGAAGCTTATACTATAATTAGTCGTGTTTCGTCTTCTCGAGTAAGTAGGCTGCTTGCTTCTGTCTTTTAGTCTTAACTCGCCTGCTGGCTGTGCTGTGCTGTGTGCAGCTCGCGCTCTCGCTGCTGTGTGATTCGTTCAGTACGCTCCAGTCGATCCATTAAGTTGGATCACTTTTCTTTCAGTAAGCAGGAGCAGAAAACCGAACCAAAAATAAAAATTATATTACAATCAAATCAAATCAAATCGAAACGTTTCCGATTTATAAATGCATAAGATATATATAATAATAAAAATTAATAAAAATTGATAAATATTTTATTTGGAGCGTTCCTTCAGTTTAACCTAAAACAGTGACTTTAAAACTGTACCGCGCTACTTGAACTTACATTAAAAAAAAAAAAAGAAAAGAATCAAATATACCCAAATACTGTAAAAAGAAGTTATAAAACAACTTTTGGCCATTCACACAGCAAAAAAGACGTTTCTTAATATTTTTCCATAATAATACATCATTTTATAGTGCATACTTTTCTGCCTCTTGCAGGCCAAGCGACGGCAAAACATAATTTTAAGTCGATCAAGGACAGCAGGACATAACTGAGCAGCCAGAGTGCAAAGGGCATCATGTTGCCCCATTGGAAGCGGTAAGTAACTATATTACACGACTGAAAAGGAACAACTAAAAAAATGAAAAATAAAATTCTACACAAGTCTAAATTCATTCAAAGTTCAATTTAAAATGCTTGCCCAAAATTCTATGAGCTATCAGTGGCTTCTAAACTGTGAATTGCTCATGCCGCTCAGTGCCTGTCAAATATGTGCACAGCTTACGCACACAATCGCTCGTCGCTGCTGCTGCTCTCTTAAGCAGCGCTGCTCTTAACGCTTAACGCGCTCTCTTTAACATGCGCGCACACACATGCACACATATATAGGCACATGCTCTTGTGCAAGATAAGCGACTTGAAAATTATTTTTTTGTGTATGAATCGAAACGTTATTAAATGGAACATAAGATTTGGCCAATTAATTAACTTAAATGTATTCATATATACAATAAATATTTATGTATGTATATAAGTGCTTTTTAAGCTTTTATCTAGATTTTCATTCACAATAACAGTGTATTAGTTCGACACTATATCCACTATGCTTAGAGAATCATAAAAGTAATAATTTACAGTTGGGGTATCCGAAATCTATATAGTATTGTAAGGATACCAAAATTTAAATTATTATTTATTAAAATTAAAGTTACGATTTATTACATCTTTTTTGAATTAATTAAGTTTACTTATTATTTAGTTTTAGTTCATATACGTGTACATGTATCGTCATACCATATACCATAACGCATACCACTGATAATATGATACTCATTTATTTTTCAGGCTGCTGTTCGCCGCTGTAATTGCTGGAGCATTAGTTGGTACAAATGCTGTAAGCAAATGTTAAACAATTTAATTGTTCTATTTCGCGTAAATATTATATTTTGTTACAGCAATTTTGGACGAATCCCGGTGCGACTGGCTCTATCCATGAGTCGCTACGTCACCATACACGAGATGATCCTAGAGATACGTTTTCCATCGATGAAAGTTACGATATTGTAGATTCGGCGAGTATTCAGCGTGGCGCACCTTTGCCAAAGAACTGCACTGCTGGGTATGCGGGCTGCGTGCCCAAGTGTATTGCCGAGAAGGGTAATCGTGGTCTGCCCGGACCCGAGGGTCAGACTGGACCGAAGGGTCTGCAAGGTTATGCGGGACCAGAGGGTCCGCCCGGTGACAAAGGTCAGAAGGGTGATCCGGGTCCATTTGGAGCAAGAGGTCAGAAGGGTGAGCGAGGATCACGCGGTATTCCCGGTCTGCCAGGCGTTGCTGGCGTCCAAGGCCCAGCGGGAAATCCTGGTGCACCAGGTCTCAATGGCAAGGATGGTTGCGATGGCACCGCTGGTTTGCCAGGTCTTCCAGGCCTGTCCGGTATGGTTGGTCCTCGCGGCTACACCGGCGGACCTGGTCCCAAGGGCGAGAAAGGTGAACCAGCTAAAGAGAATGGTGACTATGCCAAAGGTGAGAAAGGTGAGCCCGGTTTTGCTGGACGCTCTGGCGCCCCCGGACCCGAAGGAGAACGCGGCGAGAAAGGTCAACGTGGCGATACAGGACCTTATGGACCTCCTGGACCGCGAGGTGATCGCGGTATCAAGGGTGAGAAGGGCGCTGCATGCTTTGCCACAGCTATGCCCGGCGAGAAAGGTGACAAGGGCGAGAAAGGAGATCCAGCTCCCAAGCTTCCTGTTCATGGTTCCGATACTGTTATGGGACAGCGCGGCGATGTTGGCCAGAAAGGTGAAATGGGTTATATGGGCGAGAAGGGTGGACTTGGACCCGCTGGTGAGCCTGGACTTGATGGACCAAAGGGTGAAAAGGGTGTGCCTGGCTTCGTAGGAGATCGAGTGAGTCCTTGAAGAACAAAACAAAAGTAGTATCGAATATAATACCATAATCTTGTAGGGTCGCCCAGGCAACTTTGGACCGACAGGACCTGCTGGACAGAAGGGAGATCGTGGTGAGACGGGTCTAAATGGATTGCCTGGATTACCCGGCATGAAGGGTGAGCCAGGACGACCAGGTAAACCAGGTGAACGCGGTTTGGTTGGTCCGGCAGGCCCTCCTGGCGGAGGACGCGGTCAGCCGGGCGCCCCAGGACCCAAAGGACCTCGTGGCTATAGCGGTCCCCCGGGCCCTCAAGGTCTCAATGGTATGGATGGTCCTCAAGGACCTCAAGGCTACATGGGTCCCAAAGGAGGTCCTGGTCTGCCTGGAATTCCTGGCAATGAAGGCCCTGCCGGACAGAAGGGCGAAAAAGGTATTCCTGGATTCGTCGGCTCTCCGGGTCCAGTCGGACCAATTGGCCAAAACGGCCCTCCAGGACTTGACGGACAAAAGGGTGAGCCTGGCTTACCCGGCTATGGCATTCAAGGCCCCAAAGGCGATGATGGAATCAATGGGTATGTAAAGCTTACGTCTAATTGGACTTACTGTTGAGTGTCGGTTCTTTCTCTCAATAGTTTCCCCGGCCAGAAGGGCGCTAAAGGCGAAAGAGGCTATAAGGGCAATGCTGGTGTTCCCGGAGATTCGAAATTGGGCAGACCTGGTACCCCCGGTCCAGCAGGTATTCCTGGCCCACAGGGTGATGCTGGTCGTCCTGGCATACCCGGTGACAAAGGCGACATGGGTCCAAAAGGTGATGCAGGTGGCAAATGTTCTCTATGCCCACCCGGCGCTAAGGGAGACAAAGGCGAGCGTGGTGTGAATGGCATCCCAGGCAACCCAGGTCCTCGTGGCCCACCAGGTGAACGAGGCTATGCTGGCGAGCGTGGTGATGATGGCATTGTTGGACAAACAGGACCTCCTGGCGAGAAAGGCCTTGATGGTTTGCCTGGTGCACCCGGTGCAACAGGAAAGCCTGGCAACTCAGCTTTTGTTAACTTGAGTCAAATCATCCCAGAGAAAGGCCCCAAGGGAGACCCTGGATATCCAGGAGCTCCTGGCATTAAGGGCGAACGTGGTGATAGTGGAATACCTGGCTTGCCTGGTGCTAAAGGCGAAATGGGTGTCAAGGGCGACAAGGGTTACATGGGCCAGCCGGGCACAGACGGTGCTCCTGGTGCACGTGGACGTGATGGTTTTGATGGCTTCCCTGGACAGAGCATCAAGGGAGAACCTGGCCGCTCCGGTGTGGATGGACCTAAAGGTGACAAGGGTAGCCTTGGATATGTAGGACAGAAGGGCGAGCCCGGCACTTGCGCGGCTAGTGAACTGAAAGTACCCATGAAAGGCAACAAGGGCGACCGTGGTCCTACGGGTATGCCTGGACCGATCGGACCAATGGGCCAGAAGGGCGAGATTGGCAGGAACGGTGAGAAGGGTGACACAGGTCCACAAGGTCCTCCTGGCTTGGTTGGCCCTCGTGGTATTACTGGACCTCGCGGCGAGAAAGGAAACCCAGGCCAATATGGTGCGCCCGGTAACGATGGCAAGGACGGACTTCGTGGACCACCTGGTCGCTATGGCGAGCGTGGACAAAAGGGTGAACAAGGCGCTACTGTGGCTGGTCCTCCCGGTCCTGCAGGTCGCGATGGTTTGACAGGCGAGAAGGGAGATCGCGGTCCGGTTGGTGCCATTGGCATGATCGGGCCTATGGGCAATCCTGGCTATCCCGGAGACAAGGGTGATTCCGGTTTCCCTGGTCAACCTGGTGCCACTGGCGCTCTTGGACAGAAAGGAGAACCTGGCCCAATCGGTCCGGAAGGTCGTCCTGGCCCACCTGGTATACCTGGCATTGCTGGTGTCCAAGGTCGTGATGGTGCCAAGGGAGAGCCAGGCAGTATTGGACTCGTTGGCATGCCTGGTAGCAAGGGCGAACGCGGTGCACCTGGCAACGATGGTCCTAAAGGTTTAACTGGCTTAGCTGGTGCTCCCGGCAAACGCGGTCCAATTGGACCTGCAGGAATTCCCGGTAAGTAGTTACACACTGAATCTATTATATCTTATTTTTACAAATCTCCAACCTTTTCCATTCAGGCATGAAGGGTGACAAAGGCGCACGTGGCTTGACTGGCAACGATGGTCTGCCCGGCGCTCGAGGACCGACTGGACCACCCGGTATGATGGGAGTTAAGGGAGACATGGGCCCACGTGGCTTGCCTGGACAAGATGGTTTGAATGGTTTGCCCGGAGAGAAGGGTAACCAAGGTCTTCCAGGTTTTGATGGACCTCAGGGAGAGCCGGGCGACGCTTCCGAAAAGGGACAAAAGGGCGAGCCCGGTGTCTCCGGATTGCGCGGTCAAGATGGCTTACCCGGTGCCCCTGGACTGCCAGGCGAGAAGGGTTTACCTGGAATTGCTGTACACGGTCGACCAGGCCCACAGGGCGAGAAGGGTGATACTGGACGTGATGGACTCTACGGACAAGATGGTCTGCCCGGTGAGAAAGGTGACCGTGGATTCAATGGACCACCTGGTGCAAAGGGTGACAAGGGCAATTCTGGACTGCCTGGCAATCCTGGAATTCCTGGCCGCGATGGTTTGCCTGGACCACAAGGTAGTCCTGGACCGATCGGCTATCCTGGTGCTAAGGGTGCCAAGGGTGAGCGTGGTCCAGGAGGCGTTGATGGACTAAAAGGCGCAATGGGTCTACCGGGCAGGCCAGGTTACCAAGGAGCACCTGGCTTGAAGGGCGACAAGGGCGAAAAAGGTCTCAGAGGTCCAGCAGCTGAAGTCGATCTGTTTGCATTAAGAGGGGAAAAGGGTACGCCTGGCAGCCCAGGCTTGACTGGTTTGCCTGGACTTCAAGGTATCAAGGGTAACCAAGGCCCAGCTGGCTACCCCGGCGAGAAGGGAGAACGAGGCTTAACAGGACCAGCTGGCGTTCCTGGCTTAGCTGGAGAGCCTGGACCTAAGGGCGATATGGGTTTGCCCGGTGAACGCGGTTTTCCAGGACCTGTTGTCCGGGGAGAGAAGGGTCTACCAGGACGTGCGGGTAAAAATGGACGCCCAGGTAAGTGCCAAACTGAAAAATGCATTGAAAATGAGCTGTATATAAAAGAAAATATTTAATTGCAGGTGCTCCTGGTTTGCCTGGTATGAAGGGTGAGCGTGGCTTGGCCGGCTTGCCAGGTAATGCTGGTCTAGTCGGTTTGCCTGGTCCAATTGGTCCCATGGGTCCCAAGGGTGAACGTGGTTTGACTGGCCCTCCTGGCATCGATGGCATCGCTGGCATGGATGGCGCGACAGGCGAAAAGGGTGACGTTGGCTATCCAGGCATGAAGGGTGATCGCGGCCTTCCCGGCTTGGAAGGCCAAAAGGGTGACAAGGGCAACTCTGGACCTCCCGGTCCTCCTGGCTTAAACGGCCTAACTGGTCTTAAGGGAGATACTGGCGCTCCTGGTTTGCCGGGCCATCCAGGTCCAGCTGGTGCCCCAGGCGAGAAAGGCTTCACAGGGCCTAAGGGTCGTGACGGTCGCGATGGTCTTCCTGGATTGCGCGGCGAGAAGGGCGAGCCTGGCATGATTCCTCCTCCCGGCCCTAAGGGCGAGCCTGGTCGTCCCGGTCGTGATGGCGAGAAGGGCGACCGTGGACCACAAGGTGAACGCGGTCTTATTGGTATTCAAGGCGAGCGTGGCGAGAAAGGTGAACGTGGCTCGATTGGTTTGACTGGTCCCGTTGGCCGACCCGGCCTCAAAGGCGATCGCGGTGAACAAGGTTTGATTGGTCTAGAAGGTGAGGTCGGTCCCATGGGCTTCAAGGGTGAGCCCGGTCTGCCCTGCTCTGGCGCACAGGATTATCTCACTGGCATACTACTAACGCGCCACAGCCAAAATGATCAGGTGCCACAGTGTGCTCCTGGACATGTAGAACTCTGGACGGGCTACTCATTGCTCTACGTAGATGGCAACGACTACGCACACAATCAAGACTTGGGCTCGCCCGGCTCCTGTGTGCCACGCTTCTCCACATTGCCCGTGATGTCCTGTGGACAGAACAACGTTTGCAACTATGCATCGCGCAACGATAAGAGCTTCTGGCTATCCACCTCAGCGCCCATACCCATGATGCCCGTCAATAGCCAGGAGATTAGCAAATATATTTCAAGGTGCGTCGTCTGCGAGGCACCAGCGAATGTCATTGCCGTGCACAGCCAGTCGCTGGCGATACCCAACTGCCCCAATGGCTGGGAAGGACTATGGATTGGCTACAGCTTCCTCATGGTAAGTCCGACCTAATTATGACCAAACATTGTCTGAGCATAAACTGATCGATCTTCAAAACACTCTAGCACACGGCTGTGGGTAATGGAGGCGGTGGTCAGGCCCTGCAATCGCCTGGCTCCTGCTTGGAGGACTTCCGTGCCACTCCGTTCATTGAGTGCAACGGAGCTAAGGGACACTGCCATTTCTATGAAACAATGACCAGCTTCTGGATGGTTACCCTAGAGGATAACGATCAGTTCAACAAACCCGAACAGCAAACGCTCAAAGCAGGCAATTTGCTTTCGCGTGTATCCAGGTGTCAAGTCTGTGTGAAGAACTCGTCATAAAGCGCACACCAATAATTTTAATCTAAATGTAATGCCTTAACTATACCAACGAACAAAAACAACAAACACACACACACACACGCATACACAAACACACATACTAGAACCAACACTGCTACCAAATTCCTTAAAAGCAAACAACTAACCAAATATATACAAAAAGTACCCAAAGAAGAAATATATATATAACTATATGTATGTGTAGGTCCGCCCCGATTAGGGTGGAGCGAGTTTGCCATTTTTTGTATCTGCCATTTTTTTAAAGAAAAAACAAAAAATAAATGAAAACCAATGTAAGCTGCTTCTTAGTTACGAGTAAGTTAAGTAAATCAACAACAACAAATAAACTAGCCTGGTAATATGTAAAACAAGAAAAGAACGTTTAATAATACATCCCCACTTGTTTGTTTCCTTTATCTGTATCTTCCATATGTTGTCGAGATGTGAAGGAATTGTATGATGCGATATTCAAAATTATATTTTTGCGTACTCAACATTGTGCTAGAGCCTAAAACGAAGCCCTAATTAAACAACAAGAAAACAAATGAATAAAATAAATAAAAACATTTTTTCTTAATTCATTAAATTTCCATATTTATTTATATTATAAGTCAATTACCTAAATATACCCACAAACAAAGCTTCTTCAATTCTAATTCTATTTTGAATTTCATCGATCAAAGAAATAATTATGATATTTCAGATTTATCTACATTCAGTCAATTAATGAATCAATAAATCAGTTATTCCATTACTCCATGGAATTCTCATTTAGTGTAGAATACATTAAGGCGATCATTTAATCAATTATTCAATCAGTAAGTCAGGTAGTCCATCAATCAGTCCGTCAATCAATCAGTATAAGCAATCTCATGTGCAATTCGATGATATTTTCGATATTCAAAGTTAATCTGCATATCACTGAGCTAGGGGATGATTCGCATCACCTGATAATGGAGGTGTGTATGGATGGGGTGGTTTGTGGCTACAAAATAAGCGGCGAAGAGAACGCTTTGAAGACGCGAATTATTCAAACTTCACGATGTTCGATGAAAACTCACCACTTGGTCTGTCGACTCGGGCACAAGTGCGCATGTCGAAGCCTTCATGATTGAAACAGGGGTTGGGGCTCTGCCCATTGTGGGGGGGGGTGGGTTTGCCCGATAAGAGTTACAAGAAAGGGAGCAGCGGTAGAGGGTGGCGCGTGTTACCATATGATAATGATATGCCTGTAGACCCTCACACATACAATAACAATGAGAGGCCAGTGGCCGGGAGGTATGCGACTATTAGATACTCTATGTATATCGTAATGGTTTGTGAAAATACGTCTCAAAGATATTTAGAATATTTATAAATTTTATAAGTTCAATAGAAATAGTAATCTATTTCAGCTTTCTTTCCAAATTATATAAACCCAATTTCCAGAGTCAGTTCTCGGCCTGACGTCCATTTATAAAAATAAATTATGCTAAATATTAATTTATAATCCCTAATGAATCAACTGCCTTTACCTGTGTGTTACATAAAGGTACTCTGCTGATACTACCCCGTATACTCTGCTAAATTCCAATTGGTGGTGGAAAAAAATAAAAAAGAAACAAAGCATATAGAAACGTTCCAGCTGTGTGAAAATAGGGGTAGCTTTTACAAATTCAAATTGGAAAATCGAGCAGAACAGCAAAAGAACTCAGCGAGAGCGGTTGGGAATTACAGCCAAACAGCTGGAGAAGAAAACACAAAAATAAAGAAGGAACAAAGAGGAGGATAAAAGCTGCAAGCAATATATATATATTGACAAAATTGTAATTAAAATGTAAGGCAAGTGATAAAGTTTGGAAAGTGCAAAAACGCGTAGTTCCAATTGGAGCTGAATGAACGGCAAGGAAGTTCCGGAAGTCGCAAACAGAGAGGGACCAGGAGAAGCCCTGCACAACGAGTGGGCAATCTAGCAACTCCTACACACAGAGTGAGAGAGTGAGGGAGAGAGAGAGAGATAGAGGCAGACAACCCCCATAAACTTCAGTCTATATGATTATCGTTTTGCTATTGCTCTTCCAATCGCTGTGCCTCTTTTGCCAACGTTTGGTGCTCCGCATTCACGACCGATGCTTTCCCCGGAACGTCCGTGTGATCCAGGAGTTGGCCGAAACGGTGGGCGATCGTAAGGCACTGCAGCATCTCGAGAACCAGGAGCTGGAGCAAACGAAGCGAAAGCAAAAGCGTCGCCTCTTGGAGCCAATTCTGCCACTCGGAGCGGGTCTCAATCTGGAGGCTTGTCGCTTTTGTGCCCACAGTCCGCAAGGCTATTGTCGGCACCATTTCCACTTGCAGCTGCACACACAGAGGCGTGGCGACGAGCAGGACTACAAGCAGCAGCGCCGAATACGCAGGGAGCTGAAACGCAGCCTGGAGCCAAGGAGCACTTATCCCATCAACTATAGACAATATAGTCGAGGCAGCAGCAGCTCCTTGAGCAGCGGATACGGCTCATTGGCATCCAATTTGCAAGAGGACACGTACAGCTATCTGCAGGAGGAGGAGGAGGAGCAAGAGCAATTGCAGGAAGAGCGGCAGGAGGTCGAGCAGGAACAGGAGCAGGAAGCAGAGCTGGAATCGATTAATCACTTGATAACGAGTCATCTCTAGAGCAGATCCAACTCAATAAGAGCTCTTTAGACACAAGCAGCGGCAAGACCTCATTGGCAGTCACCTAACAAAAGACGGAGGCGAAGGCGTAGGATACTTCTCGACCGCCTTAGATAAGGGGAAGCAGCATGAGCATCTCAACGGACAATCGGGCCTAAGCTACTTCACATCAAAATAGACACCAGGTGTAGAAGGCGTTGACTTAGCTGGTAGACCATTGAGTCTTGAAAAAACTCTCGTCAAAATCAGGTAGGCTGCGTCTCGAGGAGGTCTATTGTTTACAAATTTGCTGTGAATCTTTTACGTTTGTCAATATTGACACCCAGCTGTAAGATCGATTATAAAAGTCGTTTGCGTAATGTCGAGCTTTGAATGGGAGCAACAACAACTGCAGCTGCAGGTTCAGCAGCCGTTGCGACGTCGACGACAACAGCACCAACACCAACACCAACACCAACACCAACACCAGCACCACCAACAGCACCACCAACAGCACAACCAACAGCATCAGCACCGCTGTGAATTACTGATGCAGGAGAAGAACTCGGTACAGCACACGCTAACGGAACTATCGTCCGGTCCCCTGGGGCATGGCACCGAAGACGATTGGACGTGGAGCAAGCGAAATCGGTCCAAGGAGGTGGTCCTCAGTGGACCCAACTTTCGCACAGTTCACTTCCATCCCAATTGGAGCAAGGGCACGGCTGGCATTCAGGGCAAACGACCCTTGAATAACGGCCGTTACTATTGGGAGCTGCATGTCTCACAGCGAGTCTTCGGCACCTCGATCATGTTCGGCATCGGCACCAAAAACTGCCGGCTCCATGCCAACGCCTTTCGCAACATGCTCGGCGAGAACGAGCATGGGTGGGGACTGTCCCACAAGGGTGAGTACCCACTGTATAGAACAGGATCATCAAATATCTATATATCCAATATCCTTTTCATCTATTTCGCTTGAAGGCGTTCTCTGGCACAAGGGCGTGGCACTTCTATATACAAAACGCTTCCGCGAAAATCATCCCACACAAATTGGCATTCTCTTCGATGGCATCGAGGGCACATTGACCTACTATAAGGATGGCAAATGCCTGGGCGTGGCATTCAGAGATCTAGACAAGGTGAGCTATGCACGATACAGTCGTCTAGTTGTCTTAGTTGGGATATTGTTAATTCCCAGTCAATTCCAGAATATTCTCTACTGTATAAATAATATACATATATTGATATATTTCACTGTAGGTAACCGAACCTCTCTATCCCATTGTCTGCTCCACCGCAGCCAAAACGGAAATGACTCTCAAGTGCGCCCGCCAGGAATTCGTCAATCTGCAGGATCGTTGTCGAGCGGTGATCATGCGAAGATTGCACACAATCGGCGATGTAGAGAAGCTGAAGCTGCCACAGTCCATCAGCGACTACCTGTGCGAGGTGATCGATGACAAGGAGCCATTGCGCCAGGTAGACAACTATGATATATTATGTGGTTTCTAGGAGTTAGATGATAATTGGCTAGGTGTTGGTCTATGCAAATAGTCTATATATATCTATGATAAGCTATGTTCCATAGGTGGATGAGGAGAAGATGTGCATGATCAACTATGATCTGATTTAGAATGAAGAATGACGAATGACGAATGACGAATGATAATGACGATGCCCGTGAAACTCGAACATATGTGCCATAATTTGAGGGCTCACTGTACAGCTGTACGATATACATGCAATATATATGTTGTGGACAAATGCAAGTTGTTTCTATGCGCAAATCTCAAGTTTTAAAGTCAGCAAGTTTTTGATACATACTATATATATATGTAAATATGTATATATCGGCATATATAAATATATATGTATATATATACATAATATCTGTATATTATATATTTTCGATAAATTTCATTGTTTTCTGTTCTGTTTTGTTTTGTTCCCTAGCTAAAATGTTTCCCAATGAATAGGCCAATTAGGTGCAATATTTGTGATATAAGTCAAAGGGCAGCAAGGAAAAGTAAATGAATAAAAATTAGAAATACTTAAAAACAGATATATATAGCTTAAATAACATAAGCTTTGATCTAAGTGAACCCTATAAATTATGTAAAAAAAATGTATTTTTTGCTACGAGTGTGAAATCTAGTCAAAGAGAGAAAGCTGCACCCAAAACATTCTGTATAAATTATTGGCTAGTCAGCTTATTAATGTTAAGCAAATGTTTATAAATTATTATACAAAATTATGTATTAAGTAATTAATTCAGTTGCAAACTTTAACAAATTCTAGTCAAAATGTGCAAAAACCAAAATGAGATACAGCAAAAGTTCACTTAATAAGATAAATAGATACATCTAGATATATATTTATCCAGATATATATAAATACCACTTAAGTGCGTATATATATATATATATACATATAAATATTTATAGAATTTTAAGAGCTTAAGTACTTAAACACAAAACAGACAAATAATTTAGTAAAAATTATTTTTATGTATTTTCATATTTGTAGCTTCTCATATACATATAAATATTTTTTTGGTGTCTATATAAATTACTATGATCGTGTGTAAAGTAAATTGAAAACTTTTAAATACAAGGGTATACATGTATATCTGAATTATGTATGTCACATGAATTAGTACATCAATTTAAATTTAACTAACTAAATGAATAAAAAATACAAAAATTCTAAGCACAGAGATTTATCTAATTAAATTCGTAAAATAATCTTTTGTTCTTTTACAGTTCATCGGTAAGATGATGTATGTTCTGTAAATGATCGCCATAATCAGTGGCCTCGCTGCCAACAAATGTATCGTAGTTATTCAGAATTTCCAGATAGGACAAACGATCGTCGTGATCTTCATCGGTGGAGACAAACAAATGATCGACCTCATCATCCGCGATGGCCGTATTGCTGGGCACAATCCAAGAGAGCACCTGAAAGCATTTTAGAAGCGCATTAATTATATGGAGTTACAATATCTGTCCAGCTAGTAAATGACCTCAGATTTAACTGTCTGTGATTCAGACATCAATACTCAAACAATTCTGCACTACATATTCTATATAGTTTATCCTTAAGACTGTATTTGATTTGTAACGAAAATTTTACTTAATCTATATCTTCTCTCTTTACTATTCTATGTATCAGTCCAATCCATATCTTCATCATTCCTTATCAATCATATCACCTCATTGCCAGTCAGAGCTCCATCGCCATTTGTATCGTAATCCTTATCAAATCGATCCTTCTCCGCTATTAACCACTCCTTGTCATGATGCGTGGCTGCTTGGCCGACAAACTCTTGGAATTCAATTTTGCCATCATGATTCAGATCCTTGTCCTGCATCGTATGCTCCAACAGAATGGGCAACATTTGTGGATGCTCTTCAGGATTTTGGAAAAGAACATATTCCTCCTGATTCAGCACACCATCCTTGTTCGTGTCGGCTGCATGGAACATTTCCTTATCCTGTTTGATCATCTTTTGCTCCTCCTCATAGCTATCGAAGTCAATGAGCTCCTTCTTGAAGTTCTCATCCTCCATGGAATAGGTGTCCTGCAAGTATTCCTTCCATGTAATTTTATCATCCAAATCTTGATCAATTTCCTCAAAACGATCCGCCGCTTCCTCCTCTGAGAGTTTCCTATGCAATAAATTGAATATTTATATATTATTCTATACAAATTAAAAATATATTTCTACACAATTATTAAGGATAGTTCTATACATCACATCGATCATGCTTAGGCTTCAGCTTTGGGTTAGCTTTTAAGCGTTTGGTTAATCAACAAACAACACTCACTTAAAGGACCTTAAAATCCAAGCTTTCAATTCATGACGATCAATATATTCATCATTATTCAAGTCCATCATCTTGATGAGTATGGCCAGACGTCGCTTCGATTCTTCCGGCGAGAGGGTATCAAATTCTTGAGCCTCTTTTGTATTGCCTGCAAATGCAAATAGGAATATATGAAATATATTTATGTATATGCTTTAGGAAACAGTCTAATTAATTCACAAAACGCATAAAACGTGCGCACACAAAAAGTCTAAAATATTAAAAAACAAGTGCGATATAATAGGGCGTGCCCGACTATAAGATACCCTGAAGCCAACGCAGAGCTGGAAGTTCAAGCATTCGACGCTTGTGGTTTATTAGACGGCTAGACAGACATATCTGTCTCGACTCAGTGTCCTGATTAAGAATATATATATAATATATCGAGCTTATACATTTGCAGTAAACAATATACCCTGAATTCCATTCTCAATGGGTGTATATTATACAAATAAAAAGTTTCTGGATTACTAATGTACCGTGAAGTAAACTTTTAATGACCTATAGAGAATATTCTCACAAAAGAGCTACCCTGTAGCCAGACTCTACTTTTTGATGGTTACACCGCTGCAGAGTATAGACAAAATTAATAATCATAATTAACCAGAGAGTAATCATTCAATACATATACTATATATGCATATAAAATGTCTTAAAACTACCACCTATAATGCCCGCACACATTTTAATCGTATACAGGGTATGAAAATATGAAACATAATTTATTGCGCCAAATATAAAAACTTTGCTGGACTAACAGTTACCCTTCAGTATACAATTACGATTGTTACAAGGTATACATATTTTCACAATATAAACTCAAACCAATATAAGTGTGTCTACCATGTAGCTAGCCCAGTTCCTCTCCATTAATATGCTTAGCATAATTTCACCATATTCTATCAAACCACACTCTACACACTTTTTAATGACTACAGGGTATACACATATTCCTCATATAAACAACTGTTTGTGCGTGCTATAAACAAAACATTAGTAGGCATTGAGGTTTCTTGTGCGTTTACCAACCTATGATGGCCTCATGATCAAACTCCACATTGTGTTCGCCCTGATCGTTGTGATGATGCGCATCCCTGGGCACATAGCTGCCGTCCTTTACCCGTTCCTTGCTCAGATGCTTCTCGTGCTTGTGACTGTTGGCAACGGCGCCATTGGCGGGCATAGGTCCAACCAGAGCCAAGGCTCCAATGATGCACAGCAGAATTGGCAAACATGTTAAACGGGCCATTGTACTTGGATATACCCTGCACATACACACACACGCACAGACTATGGCACGGACAGCTGAGATTATTTCTTTATATGACAATCCTCCGTCTGTTGCTTCTTGTTTGCTCGACAGACGCACACTGAGAGATTATTTGTTTGCCTTCTTGCTCTTGGAGGCTGGGAGCGTTACAGACACACATACACCCAGCTCATACACGCATACACACTCTGGCAGCTGCTTCTGTTTTGTATAGCACTTGAGAGTCTAAGCGATTGCCGACTCACGTAATAGCCAAAAAGTCAATTCTATGAACTCTAATGAACCCGATCAATGGGCTTTGCGTAACCTGAAATACACAAATATATACATAAACATATTTTATTCATACACTACAAGCAATTTTCATTTCAGCTTACCAGCTGTTCGTCCTATGCACACATACTGGCTTTTCAATTGAATGTGATAGGCACTTTTTTATTAAACATTGCATCTATTTGACTCGGCACTTTGAATATACACATTAATTTATAGTATTTACAAACAATTCTAAAGAAACATTATTTACTTCTGTGGTTAGTGCTTCTAGCAAACCCCCGTCAAAATCAATCGCAACACTTAGCGGCGCTCATCGCACAGCCAACACTTTATCGATGTATCGCTGCAGCTGTTAGTGGCATTAGCAACTATCGCATATCGGCGAAACTGTACATCTCTAGCTATTGTTATTGCAAAATAATATTTTTTCGCCAACTATGACCGTAGTGCAAAACTAAACATAAATTAAACATAAAATCAAATAAAAATTAAAGTGAAAAAGCTTAACACAGACAGTTAAACAAATATCGTACACATAAAGTGGCATGCTTATAAGGTGAGTTGGCTAAATAAAAAGGTCGGCAAAAAAGGCGCACCTGAATGAGCGAGAAGCTGGAAACAAAAATTCAGTAAATAACTTCAAATGACATCATTGACAGCACCCAATTTGTTGTGTTCAAGCGCCTTCTAACAGCAGTTGTGTTTATGACTCTTGGGTGTATATTTATTAATTTTTTTTTGTGTGCGCACAAAACACGCAAAAGGACTGAATGTGAGGCAATCGAAAGGGTACGATTGTATTGTGTGAGTTAGAGGGATATTTTTAATGGTGCAATTTGGAATCCGGCTTCGGCGTAGGAGTTGTTGACCGGCACTATTTTTGGTTGACGACCAAATATATACACCTATACTGGTGTTGCCAGCGTAATTATGGCTCATGGAGTTGTGAATTGCCAAACATGCAACTGGTCAACAAATATACGTATGTATATATGTGCATGTGTGTGTGATTGTGTAGACTTATCCTTACAAGAGCGCGCTTTTACTCAGTTTACAAATTAGAGATGGGCAATTATAGAAACTTATTGTAACATATGAAATATTGCAATTGTGACTTAAATCAAAGCGAAATTGTGTAAACTATAAAATTCGTAGTTTGAATTGCATCGTTTTTCTTGTTTTTACTTGATCTTCATTTAGTTTTATTATAGACTCATAGTTATTATAATAATAATCCAAAGTCGTGCTTGCTTGCTTCGCTAAAAGCCAATCACGATACGCTCTCAACTCGAGTGGAGAGTTTTTATCTATCAGTTGCTCATAGCTCACGCTCATGTGAGTTAATCCAATATAGTTTGCTAACCGTTGCAGATAAAGAGAGTGGTGTACCAGAGAGCAACGCAACGAAACGCAACGGCAGACACATTAATGACAAACAAAAACAAACAAATAAGCAACAACAGCAACAAATAAAAAACTACTTCAGTACGGAAAAACCTGAAAGCTTGCAAACAAAATTTAGTCGTAAGCCAACCTTCGGTCAGCGTAGCAGTTAGCTTTCGTCGTGCAGCAATAATTATTTGATTTTTGTTGTTATCCAGTTTGAACCGGTTTACAACGCAGCGACCCCGCCCGCGCTAATTAATAGCTAAAGTAAATCCGTAAAATAACAATAAAATATACCAAATGCCGTACATTATCATACGCGGCAATCTAGCCTCTTATAGTCATAAATATCCATGGCGTGTGCTCGTATCGGGACTGAAAGGTAAATCATCAGTATAGACTGCTCTCACTCTCTCTACCTCTCCTCCACTTTTCTTTCTTATTTCGCAGTTAGTTTTGTATTAGATTTTAACAGTTGATTTTCTATACGTATGTATGCATTTGTTGCCAACCAATATTTGGGGGCCAACTTAATTTGCTGGATTGCGTCTTCATTATTTATTTTTCTTTTTGTTTGCCATTCTTTATGTCTTATTGCGCGACACAAATTATATGAAGTGTGCTTCGTCACGTTTTCACAGACACACTCAGGCACACATACACTAGAAACACTTGTGCATAAACTCACGCCCACAAGTCTGGTTTAGTTTTTTTCCCTTTGTATTCGGTTATTCCACTTTACACTACCAACTAATTTTTGAATGAGCTCGTCCTTGAGTGTCTGAGTGTGCTTATATATCTGCCGTTGGCTATGGGTGTCTGCTGTTGTGAGTGCTGTCCATCTTTACAGTGGCATCCTCAAGCATTAGTGCTTGCTGCACAGTCATATCACTTCAAATGATGTGCTTTTGTTGCTTTCGCTTTTCAGCGTACTTTGTTTATTTTTGCAGTAGTGTATTGAACGGAATTATGGCCTTGTAAATAAAACATAACTGTATTAGTTTTAAGCACTACACCCGCACAAAATGAATTTCGATTTATAATCTTGTTTACTCACTTTTGTGTATACCCTGTAGATTTAGAATATTGAAGACAGGGTATACATGTTTCCTAGTAAAGTTTCCATTTTTAGTTTTTCGGATCTCAAATTTTTTGAAGCTTTTATTTAATATTCGCATAGTTTAAAATTAATGTTTTAGGCATGCTAAATGCCAATGCTTTTTCGTTAGCAATTCAAATGAAAACAGGTTTAGCACCATAACGAACATGAAGTCATAGTTAGAGTATTCGTGAATTAGCTTGAGCTATTAGCACCAACTGTGCTCACCACTCTCTTGCTCTCCGCTCTCCACTCTCTTTTGCACTCTCCCACTCGTTGATTCGCTCTCCATTAATTGTATTTTCTGTCGCACATTCGAGCCGTCAGTTTCGTTTTGTTTCGCACTGAGTGCAGTTGAATTACGCCTTGCATGGTGAGCTAAGCACAAATACACACACACACGCACTCACAGATATATATATTAAAAGAGTTTATATTTAAAAAGTATATATTTTGGAAAAGTCAATGCACCTATAGAATTTTCTTTAAACATACTGATACGTGCTAGACTTGAGTTGAAAGAAAAACGGCACTTATTCGATCGGTTCAAAGTTATTGCTTAATTAGCACTCACACAGCCACAGAAACACATACACACACACACACAGGCAGAGCGATGAGGCCAGTTGCTGACGTCATGCCGCTGGCGCTTAAAACATTTTGGATTGTTGTTATTATCTTTGTTCAGCGCTTGTCATATTACCCTTCTATATAAACACCCCAATTTAAACAGTTTTAATGTATATAAACATGCTCATATGTAGATATTCACATATATATACATATATACAACATTCTGATAAGCTTCGACTTTCTCAGCTGACGACATCGAACAGTTAAACAAGTTCTCCTGCGGCGGCTACAGCGATGAGTCCACAATCGTATATCTAGTCCATCCGTGTCGCATATTATCTGCTTTAGAGGTATAGTAAACACATGTTACGGTGAAAGCTCTGTTATACATGGCTAGGAAAATGTTAGATAAATCATAAACCGGGATAATACAGTAGAATTAAATTCAAAAAGATCTATAAAAAATTGTTTAAATAAAATATTGCTGTAAGCCTTAATATAACTCAAATAATCAGAACAGAAAAAAAATTAATAATTTTCTAAAATGAAAATTAATATACAAAATTAATTTATTATTTCATAAATAATTAATAATATCATAATTTTCTCTTCTACTCAAATCTGAATTTAATTATTTTTTAAATATTTCTTAAAAAAATGATTTCTTTTATTATTTTTTTGTTTTTAATAGAGTAGTTCGTTAGTCAGAGCTTTCACTGTAACTTTTTGGCATTTAAGTTCAAAGAATAGAACAAAATTTTGTGTTGCAGATTTTGGGTTTTCGCGTTGTGGCCAGTTCATCGACAGCCGTTAAGCAGGACTATAACGAATATATGTGGACGATGCGCAAGGAGTTCGTCGAGCCTGAGCCTGAATCCGAAACCGTATCCGTAGTCCGTGAGAATTTGTCCAATATAGGCAGAGAGGCGGCCAGTTTAGGCAATTATCATAAAGTCGATTCCCCAGAGTAAAACTCTCCCCCCTCTCTGTGTGTGTATGTGTGTGTGTAAGTGTGTGTGCGTGTGTATATGTGTGTAAAAAAACTATAGCAACATAAAAAAAACTTCTGACAGCCTATCAAATAGATATATATATATATATATTTAAAAGCAAAGTATGACCGATAATCAGGCGGGGCCAGTGGCGAAGGAATCGACAACCAACTGCGAATGCCCACAGCAGGTGCCATCGACAACATCCACTGGTGCTGCTGTGCCACCCAGTTGCCCGACCAATGTTGTGACCATACCCGTGCCCATTCTGCAATCGGAGGGCAACTTCGCTTACGTCACCGTCAAGGGTTCACTGCATGATTACACCTGTACCGTGTTTGGCTTGAATCAGGCTGAGGTGCAAGCCCTGTCGAATCGTCTGTCCGTTAAGCCTTGTGTTAATGGCGTCCTAGTCGCTGTACCGCCCATGGTTATGTTGAATACTTTAGCCCAACTAAGCTATAAGGTAGTTTGTAGCTGCGGCGAAGCGGAAATCTGTTGGACAATGCAGCGCGAGGTCTAACGAAGTTGGAAAGTTTGATTCGAAGCACATTAAGAAAACCTCAGTCAAAATACCGATCATCAATCAACCAATCATCAACTCATCTTTATCAAATCAAGAAATATGGATCAGCATAGCGCAGACAATTGCAAGTGCCACAAGCATACGCAGCCGGCACAGCAGACGCTCAGCGACATGGATTTCGATCGGGGCATTTGGAATGCGGGTGAGTCAAAACATTTCACTGTTCAACTATTTTACGTAAATGAGAATTGAAACTAATTTTAAGTAGAATCATATAATTCATTTCAATATATGCTTGATTTAGATATACATATATACATGAGAGTGAATTACTCAGAGGTGGGGCAAGGAGAGAACCCAAGATACAACTCATTACATTCGAGTTTTGGCTTTATAACTTCTGTTTTCTGCTATCTCTTGCCTATCTGCCTATTTTTCTTCACATATATCACTCCCTTTCTCTCCCCCTCCTCTCAGTTGTTCATTGCCTCATCATACGACCGATTCTTTCGTTGACCAGGTTTAGATATGACACTAGAATTATCTGCTGTCTCTGTGTCCACTATCTTATCTAGATTTTTTATCATACCTTTCATTATCATTAGAGCTATCGATCAAACATTAATATCTTCTGTATACATTTCCGCTGCCTTCTTATATAGACCCATCATATAATGTGTTGACCAAGACTCATGATTTATATATTTATTGTATCTCCAAAGTGAATTCTGATTTCTTGTATATCTTCCTACTTTTATGAGTAATAAACCCATAAAATGGATATGCCTACTAGATTTCCTAGATACGCGAAAAATCATTAGTAATATCATTATTACCCATCTCTGCACTTCACATTTCTATTTCCCTTCTTTATTACATTTCCACTATCCATTATACCTTATATGTACAATATATATAGAATATTCTCTATGATTACTGTTTTATTAAAATCTCAGTATTTCAGCTAGTAATTGCTGTAAGTTGCTCAGCTCTTAAGTATTTAATATCTGATATCCTTCTTCCCATTTAGCCATCTACAACGAAGTGGATCGTGTGCGAGAGTTCATCCGGAAGGGTAAGGCGATGGCGCGCGACGATTGCGACTACACTGCCCTACACTATGCAGCACGCAATGGAAACGAAGAGATTTGCAAGCTGCTCTTGGAGGAGGGCAAAGCGGATGTGAATGCGGTGACAAAGGCGGGTGCCACGCCACTGCATCGGGCGGCCATGATGGGTAATATAGCGCTACATATAATATAGGCAATATATACATATACATGCTAAATACGTGTCCTATTGATAGGTCATATGAACATTGTAAAGCTGCTGGCAGAGCAGCCGAAGGCGAATCTTTTGCTGCAGGATGAGTGCGGGCAGAGCGCGTTGCATCGCGCCGCATTGCGCGGCCAGTTGGAGGTGTGTCGCTACCTGTTGCAGCAGCAGCCAGCGCTGAAGCTGCTCAAGGACAAAAAGGATAAAATCGCCTTTGAGTATATCATGGAGAATGCCAACGACGATTTTAAGCTGCTGCTAAAGCCCTAAGCCCCAAGGCGACCGAAGCCACAAGCCTGAAGAACAATGTAATTGGTGGAGTAGTCAACTTTGTAGCTCTATATATAAGTGCCCCAAATTGTTATGGTAATTGTTATCATATCTTTTATAGGAATATATCTATCTTTCTATACATATATATGTCTATATATATAAATATGACAGTTAGTTCCCTCTTATAGTGTTTTTTGTATGTATGTGGTTTTTTTTTTCCTGTAAAGTGTAAGCACAAAAAAGTTTGACACGAAAGAAAAACTCAATTCATAATTTATAATTTTCACAAATCTATATATATATATACAAATATACTATATGTATATATATATGCAACAATTGTAACATTTGAAAGTGTCTAAAAAGTTAATGTAAAGAGCAAAAAGTGTTTGACCGCAAATCTGAATTGCGTGTGTTTCTATATATAGATGAATATATATATTTATGTGCCTACACACTAAAAGTAAATACCCTAAACTTTTGCATACACTACACTAACGGGCGATATACAAACATTACATACCTACGCTAAAACATATTCTATATATTTATAAATATAAATAACTTAAATAAATACTGCAAATTGCACAAGCTACTCGATGTTAATCCCACGATTCGGCTGACCGTATTATTTGACTAGTTAAGTGGGTTCCTCGCATGGCCGGCACATCCGAGAACTCGCTGAGGTATCGCTTCAGGGTTTGCGGCATGCACAGCTCCTCGTCGACAATGCGCGCCAAAGTGGAGCTCTCGCCCGTTGGGGGATACTTGGCATGGAGCTGGAAGTCGGCCTGGAGCGCTCGCAGCAGTTGTTGGCGTATCACCTGGCGGGCGAGCGACTGCAGCGACCGGGGCTGTGTGCTCAGCTGACGCAGGCTCTGGTCAAAGGCCAAGCGAGTGGGCGTGGCTCGCTGGGAGCTATCACTCGTTTCGGTGGGCGGGGAGAACTTGAAACCAACGTGTCCTGGAAAGAGGAAAGTAGAGGAACTTATAAATGGGAAGAGTTTCAATCTGAGAGATGACTAGGAAAGGGAAGAGTTGATAGCAAATGGAGAGCGATATCACAAATGGAAACAGACCAAGCTGGTGAAGTACAAATGGAATTGGAACATACCTAAGAGTTCCGCAAATGCCAAGCTCTGCGGATTGCCATTGGACCGGAGCTCGTTGAGCACATGTTCGCTCGAGATCTGAGAGAGATTGCAGCCCTCTCGCAGCAGCAGCTGAGCTATGTCCAGGCGCTGCAGGCTGATGGCGCGAGCCAAAGGCGTTTCGCTGTAGACGAAGCCGCAGACGACAGTGGGCGCCTGGAAGCTGTACAGATCCCTGCGAGCGCTGGGCAGCTTGGCGAGGAGAACGCGCAGAATTTGACGAAAGGCGGACAACTGCTCGATTTGCTGCACCGCGAAGAGGAGCAGGCCCACATCCTGGGCATCCGTGTAGAGCCCGAGGAGTCGCTGCTGATTCGCCTGATCCAGGAGGAATTCGAGCATCTCCGGCAGCTGTTGGTGTATGGCACGCATGACGGGAGTCAAATTATCGCTGTCCCTGACACTCAGGCTCTCGCCGTGCTGCAGCAGCAGCTCGACCATGGCCCGGTCCTCGGCGTCCGGACCGAGGCAATGGTGCAGCAGATGGTGAGCCGGCAGACGTCGTGCGCCACGCTCCAGCAGAAGTTTCGCCAGCTGCCGATGCCGGCCGATGACTGCGAAATAGAGCGCCGTATATCCCTCCTTATCCTGCAGATTGACGCGTGCGCCGCGCTCGATCAGCTCCTGGGCCAACTCAAGCTGGTTGCAGGCAACGGCCAGCATAAGGGGCGTCTCGCCCTCGTCGTCCGTCTCATTGAAATTGACGTTCGTCTGGAGCAGCAGGCGAGCCGCTTCAGTGCATCGATTCTCGATGGCCAGGTGCAGAGCCGTCTTCCCGTCGCTCAGCGTCTTCGAGTTGACCAAAGCCCCGTGCTGGATCAGCTGGCGAGTGACCTCCGCATTGCCGGCGCCCACGTGCAGCGGCGTATACCCCTCGCTGTTGACCACGTTGATGGGCGCCTGGTGCTTGAGCAGCACAGCGACGCACTCCACGTGGCCCCAGGCGGCGGCATAGTGCAGCGGCGTCACCAGGTCCGCGTCGTAGATATGTGGATCCTGTTGACGGCAACTGGCACAGCACTGGGTCAGGAACTCTCCAGTGTTCTCAAAGGTCTTCGCATAGTAGTGATATAATTGCGAGTCCTCGCCGGCCACGCCTCCACCACCATCGCCCACGCCTCCCTCTGTATTCTCTGAGCTCCAGCTTTCGCCTTCGAACTCGTCCACCCATTCCAGCTTCTCCATACCCTCGGGCGTAATGTCTATCTCCAGCGCATCGGCATGAGCTGCAAGGGGAAGAACGACATTAATTTTTAAAATTTTTATTTGTAATCATTCATTAAAAGATAAACCAGTTTTAAATTACCCATATTTAAAAATTAATATAAATTGTTTTTAATATTTTAATTGAAACTTTTATCAAAGTTTAAGAAACTTAAAAGCAAGAAAGAAAAATCTTCTAATTCTTATGTGTAAAGCTAACTAATTGTAATTAATTATGCCCAATTATTATTTATTGTAATGTATTTATTAGAAAGTTATTAATACAGTCGACTCTCGTTATTTCGAAAAGAGAGAAAATACAAAAAACCAAACTTCAAATTAAGCGTTTTTATTTTAATGCTGATACTTTACATATTCGTAACGTACTAATTTTTAAATTAATTAATCTTTGAAAAGAACTCATTTGTACGGATTTCCTTCGAAACACATTGCTGTTGCGCAGGCTTTTCAATAATTTTAAGGAGAAAACGTGCCTGATTTGCCGTTTCAACAGTTACGTTTTGTAGATAATAGTTTTGGAGGTTATGTGTAACACGCAACACGCACAATAAGGAAAAGTAGTTTCAGGGGAGTCCAAAATTCAAATTCAAAGTTCTTACCAACTGTTAGAGATGCTGGGTTAACATTGGCGATGCAATGCCAGCGAAAGTATAGAGGTTGTGGTTCGGTTAAATATTAAAAGAGTGTGACAATATAAACTGAATAAAAAGTCAGTTACACTTTTTGTATGGGGCTGCCAGACTGCATGTTTGCTTATGTTAATCACTGACCAAAGAACAGTGTGGTCAGTGGTTAATGCTAATTCAATGACATTTTCAACACTAACACGCCAAGAACATTCGAAAATTTGAATTGTCGATGATTGATGTTCGAATTACTTAGTTCGAATTACTGAGTGCATAACAATGTATGGGAATAACTCGAAATATAAAGAGACTTTGTAAGGGACTCGAGATTACTTTGAATTAATGAGAGTTTCGAAATATCGCAGGTTTGAAATAACGAGCGTCTCATAAAAAATATATAATAAATAAATAATGAAATAACTCGATACACTGTTTTCTGTTCATAATTTGTATGACACAAACTGGAGTTATTCTATTTTGAATTAAAAAATACTTTGTATTATTTCAGTACTTATATTTTTCAATTGTATTTCCCTCACCTAGCAGCTTTGACACGTGAACGTTCGACTACCTGATCGCCTACTAAAAGTCAAACGAAAAACGAGATGGCCAAACAAGTGCATTTTTCATTGCGTTTTCAGCTGACTTATCTTCAGCTACACCTTCAGCCGGTTCTCTCTGACCTCAAAGAACCCCCTCTCTGTCTATGCTCCCATTCTAGATAGTTTTTGTTGTTCTTCTTTATTTACGTTTCTCTTTTTCAGTTTCCAAAATGCATTTGGGTCACTGACATCGGCTGCACTGCAAGAAAACTATAGGGGTGATTGGGATATACAAAATTTCACAAAACTTGGAAAATTCAGCGAAAATTCGGAATATTTTAAAACATCTCAATTATTTTCCTTGTTTTTCTCTGAGTGTGCACAGTGTACGAATGGTAAATATATTATGAAGGCCGTGTGGATAGCCCACATAATCAAGCTAGTTTTAAAATTATCTCACTCTAAATTAGAAATGTAAATGTTTAAATATATCATTGTATATAATTATATTTAAACGGAAAAGAAACTTTAAAAAATAATATATATACATAATAATATATGTACATCCATACTTAATATTTTAAATACAAATATATGTAAAATATATATATATATATATATGTAAAATATATGTAAAAAAAAATATATAAAATATCTTTAGAAAAATTTAAAACTTTCTTATAGCCAAAAAGAAAATGTAACGAAATATATGAAATCTATAAAAATAAGCCGACAAAGAATTTAGGAAATGGGAAAACAAGTTTGGAGAGCTACCCCTAAATTGATTTTCTGCGACCAGCTGTTGCCCGTTAATGACAAAGGCTTTTTGTCTGCAGCTTGAACTTACCTTGATGATAAACATTTAGTTGTGGCTCCTCGCATGATTGGACCAGCAGCTCGAGAAGCTCGGCATCGCCCAGTAGGGCGGCGGTGCCCACAGCAGTGCGCCCACATGTGGCCGAGACGTAGGTGGCCTGGGCGCCTTCCAGAATGCAATTCAGGGCCTGGCCAAAGTCGCCGCTGTGGACGGCACTCATCAAACGCTCGTTGAGATCGTAGGAAAGCATCTTATCATTTGTCCAGAGAAATAACAAGCAAACCAATCGAAGCGGTTGCAAATGGTAAATAGAAATAAAATTTAATGTGGAAACACTGCACGGAAAAGCAGACGAAAGGAGACTGAAAAGAAACAACGGGGCAGACCACAGAGCTGACCAAATGAAGGAAGAAAAACTACCACCCCCAAGCATGAAGAGCGTGAGGGAGAGCCAAAAACAAAGAGAGTGCCATAGAGATGAGAGTTCACTCAACTGTGCTTTGCTGCATTTACAATCAACCAATCAGAACAAAGAGCGAGTTAAACACAAAGAGAGTAGAATATTAGAGATGACACTTCGTCCAGCTATGCATTGCATTTACACACAGCTATACCTAGTGGGATGTATAGTGATATCAAACTATGATATAGGTTTTTTTTTATCTAATTCTAAACTACATTAATATTAAGAATAGCTTTCATCCTTTTTTCTAAATAATTAAATCAAACCTTATTTTCTAGACATAGATTTGAAAATGCTATTTTTTAGCTTTTTAAATGTTGTTGATCTGGCCTTTTCGCAGCCTGAAAAGCCGCCAGCTACCTATCGCACAAAGAGAGCGTTCGTTATATATAATAAGAGCATTCCGTATGTGGCATAAAGAGTTCGCTCAGCTGTGCCTTGTATTTACACACAGCTGCCAATTGTTTGGGCTTTATTTTTTGTTGCCGCTATACAGACAAAGACTCGATTTGTAACATAAACTAAACTATTTGATCTCCTTGGTTTCCTTGGCATTCTGCAGCGATTCGGTGATGAAAAGTTTAGCCAGCGATTGAGAGCAAAATTGTGCAATGTGCTGGGCATGCGTATTGATCTGACCAGATGTAATCGTGGCCGTTAACCTAGCCGGCACAGGCATGGGTCGGAATTGTTTGATGACCTCCTCCTCGGGCACTGTGGGCTCGCCCTTCGAAGTGCGCACAGCATTCTCAGCAGCCAGCTTAGCCAGAGCACGATGTTTTTCCTGGTGAATGAGAAAAAAGTTAATATAAGCTAATAAACTGCAAAAAGCAACCGCTTACCGTGTCCTGTTTGAAGACCACCTGCTGGTACTTATTGTAGCGCACAGCTTCCTGGTAGAGCTCGTCCACGCGTTCGATTAGGCTGCGCATGTGGTTCTCCAGCACTGAGGCGGTGCCCAGGTCCAGGAAGTTGTGTCCCTTGTCTTCCGGCAGCAGCTCATTCAGTTCGCTCATCATAATGTTGGTCAACGGAGAGTTCTTGATGACAATTGGGATCTCGGCGAAGAGACTCTCGTAGCCCACTTTCAGAGTGCGGAATGCCTCGGGTGTGAAGTCGCCATCCTTATACATTTGTATGGCCTGCGGGGTCAGACGATAGGCCTTCAAGCAGAGGAAGCCGCGCGAAGACTTCTGTGTGTCGTAGACAACCACGACAGATTCCTCGATGCTGGTCTGGTAGTGATACTGCGATTCGAGCAGGGCCAGAGACAGGCTGTTGCCCACATCGGAGCTCTGATACCAGCCCACATGCAAATGATCGACATTGACGCGGCGCAGACGACGCATCACAGTCAGCTGGTACATCTCCTCGTCCATGGTCTCGTCGCCGCTCTTGGGAAAGGGAAAGCAGTTCGTGATTTCCAGGCACTTGTCCACAACCAGGCCAAGAAGGGCGCCCTGGGCCAAATCCATATTGCTCGACTCCTCATGGCAATGTTTAATCATTTTCATTACGGCCTAAAATGAGAACATGTTTAATTATATTTAAAATGTGGAAATGTAGGCGGGTGCTCTCTTTCTCTCCATAAAACGCAAATTGCAATCAAGGCGGCAGCGTTTGCTCTCTCAGCCTCTCTGTGTCTCTTACGCACACACATATTCACGCACACAAATAAACAGCAGGCGCAGCGCGTGGCACTGCCATGACTTTTTTACGCCTTTCTACTGCACTGATCTTAAGCCTTGCACTTGCCACGTTCAGTTCAGTCTATATTTAACTTACCAGACCATCGCATTGTACATAATTGATGGTATTTTCTGAATCCTCATTGCGAGCATGACGACCACCGCGGTTTGCCATTTTGACGACGACGAAGAAGAAAAGGCTTGAAGTTGGCTGCACACGCACACACACAGTGAGAGAAAAACAAAGTTGTACAATGCCCGACTATATCGAGCAATTTTGCAACACTGTCACCGAACAGCTGTTTAGCCGACTTTGATAGCAATATAAATAGAAGGAAAAAAAATTGTTTATCTCAAAATAGTATAAGAAAATAAAATTGTTAGCGTGTCAGACTTCAAAAGCAAACAAGCAAAATACAGTTGCATGAGCTGAACAGCAGAAACAGTCTTCACCAGCAGCTCACAAAATGACGACGAATTGGCGAGAATTGTTTCCCACAAAATTGACCTTTATTATATTTCTGCTGTATATGTCATTATTTATTGGTCAAGGTGAGTGCATACATTTAGTTGAAAATTATTATAATCATTACAATATCATCTCGTAGGCATTTTTGTGACGGCATCGCAGGACTCGAACAATTCCTATAGCTATAATACAGTGACAGTGGTGCTGCTGACGGAAGTTTTTAAGTTAATTGTTTCAACATGCCTCTATTGCAAAGAGTAAGTGTGAAACATATTTATGAGTAATTAACTAATTGGTATTTTTATGTTTTCACAGCAAGAGTCTTCGGTCGCTGGTACGCGATGTGCACAAAGATCGCAGTGTATTGGGGCTCTATATGGTGCCAGCGTTCCTCTACTGCTTATACAATAATTTAGCTTTTCTGAATCTCGCGACATTTGATCCGACTACGTATTACCTTCTGCTCCAATTACGAGTGGTTGTCACAGGCATACTCTTCCAAATCATATTCAAGAAGTATTTATCACAGCGGCAGTGGATATCATTAATCCTACTAACCCTGGGCTGCATGCTAAAGCAGGTGGATTTGAATCGGTTCTACAATGATGCAAATGACGATAGCGAAGCAGTGGCCCTGCAGGGGGTGAGCGCTGTGAATGCCACGCAAACGAAATCCAAGGCAAACGGCAAAAATATGGCGGGCTTCGACCTTAGCATAAACGCCATCTTCATCCTAGCCCAGACGATCTGCTCCTGCCTAGCCGGCGTCTACAACGAATACCTTCTGAAGGACAAGGGCGCAGATGTCAATATTTTCGTGCAGAATATATTTATGTACATGGACTCAATCGTTTGCAATGCATTGATATTGCTGTTCAGAGGCGAATTGCTGGACGCTTTTAGTGCGAAGAACCTGAGCAGCATTGCGCGATTCGGTGTGATGATTATTATTATCAACAATGCTGCCATAGGCATTGTGACAAGCTTCTTTTTGAAGTACATGAACTCAATACTTAAGACATTTGCCAGCGCCCTGGAGCTGATGTTTACGGCTGTGCTCTGCTATTTCCTGTTCGCAATTCCCATCTATATGAATACCGCGTTGGCAATAGCTGTCGTCTCTTATGCCATATACTTGTATACTCAAAGTCCGGTTGTTAATCTCGGCAAGGTGCGTCCTTTATCGAATTTAAGTGACGCCACCTCTCAATTAAAGACTAAAGAGAAAGAAGACAGCCGCAAGCTACTGGACGAACAAATCGACACCGACTTGGAAATGGATATCGTTTAATTATATGTAGATATTAATTTTAAATTTAAGCCACTGTATATAAGTATTTGTGTTTTTTCTGAAAAGTTGAGTAATAGGAACGTGCAATCTGTTTCTTGTATATAATACTTCCGTTCTAGATAATATTCTTACTTTAATACAACTAAAGAGTAGAATCCCTTTATCAAATATAGTTTCTGAATTGAGAAGCATTTAACATAACTCAATCATATTTTTATTTCCTTTCTTTTTTACATTATAATATTTAGCTTCCCGTTATTCAGCACGTGGCGGTGATCTACGTGCTTGAAGCGCCTCTTGTAAATATTCGTATTCATGGAATTTTTTGTAATCTGCGCATTTTTCCAGATGCTGTTCCATGAGCTCGCCTGGCATGCGATGCGTCGCATTATATTTGCAAATCTCTAAGGGGGGTCCCATGTAATTGCGCATACACTTTATTATGTGACCGGGCATCCTATAGAGCAATATGCGATGCGACTTATTATATGGACAAATGCCGACTTCCGAATCACTCATTGTGATTCCCTAAATTTAAAATAAAAAGTTCAATTAATTGAAATTTACAATTGTATTGAAAATGGTACTACCAAAAATTGAAAGTACCGCTACTTTGTATCTAGAGATGGCTTTTGATTTTAAGCGCAATATTGGCAGTGTGATTGTTAATAATGATATCGATAGTAGGGATGAGATATAATTGAGTAAATCACGATATGCCAATAATAAAGCCAGGTACAGCCAGCAATACATATCACAATGCTTTAATGACGTCATCAACGATGAGTCACGTACACAACTAATGACAAATATATGACATGTTACACCAACAATTGAAATAGCAAATGCTGTAAAACAGTCTTTAACGCTCTAAAGGTGTCATAAAACTATTGTACTACCATTACATCATCATTCTTTGAATTTGAAAACTTTCAACCTAGAATTTTAGAGCAGCGCTGGCGGAGGCTAAGACTGCACTAATAAATTTAAGCATATATCTATCTATTGTTATAAATATACCTAATATTATTAAGTAATAACTATTTTTTATATATCAAGATTTCGACATGAATATTGTATGCTCCCTAATGGCATACGAATATACGCTTAGATAATTAGTTACGATAGTTTTCTAATTCATGATTCCATCACTATCGATACTCCTCGAATAACGAAAATAATCCAGCAGTATCGACTCCGCCCGACCCCTTCACCAATCATTCATTAAAAAGTTTTCGTACAGTTCGGACGTCGCTTTACCCGTGAGAAAAAGTGCTCTAACTGATCAAACTAGTGAAAAAAAAGGAATTTTCCACTTCGAATAATGGCACGTACCAAGCAAACAGCTCGCAAATCGACGGGTGGCAAAGCGCCCCGTAAACAATTGGCCACCAAGGCGGCCCGCAAATCGGCCCCATCCACTGGCGGTGTTAAGAAGCCTCATCGCTATCGCCCTGGTACCGTGGCATTGAGAGAAATTCGTCGCTACCAAAAGTCCACAGAGCTGCTCATCCGCAAGTTGCCGTTCCAGCGCTTAGTGCGTGAAATTGCTCAAGATTTCAAGACCGATTTGCGTTTCCAGTCGGCAGCTATCGGCGCATTGCAGGTAAATTGGCGGGAAGTGTAAAAAAAGAATTGTGTCTGAAAATGTGGGAGTGCGGAGTGGGGGGTGTTGCATGGAGTGTGGCCCCAATTTCGTGCCATCATGTAATGAGTATTTTGAACACTTTTCCATTGCAGGAAGCATCCGAAGCCTACTTGGTTGGCCTGTTCGAGGACACCAATTTGTGCGCTATTCATGCCAAGCGTGTCACCATCATGCCCAAGGACATTCAGCTGGCCAGACGCATCCGTGGCGAGCGCGCCTAAATGCCATGTCCGCCATCTTTAATTAGAAAAGCGGCGCAGTTGCTGTCGCTGTTAACAACAACAGCAACAAAGACAACGCCGACGGCGCAGTCAAACGCAGCAGCTGCTGCTGCTGTTTACAAACAACAACAAAGACATCAACGTTGGCGTCGGCGTCGGCGTCGCAGCTGCTGCGTCTGCTTAGTCTTAAGTTTCATAAGATTTATTATACTTAAAATATAAGTAATTCATAATTCGTAATTTGTCGCAAAAATTTATGCAAAATTTGTCGATCCAATAAAAATACATTTATTTGTTTTCTGTGTAAAACTTAAAAGCAGTTTTTCTTTTAATTTATTTTACTCGAGTTTTCAGAATGGGTATGATTTATATTTGAGGGTTGTTTTTATGCTCTAGAACAGCAAATGCGATTTTTATTTAAAGACAATGGTGTCCAACATAGCTCCTAAGCACTGTACAATATTATTCTGCATGACCTTATCCACTTTCTCCTCCAAATGCCGTTTCGGGTCCTGTTTGCCCACATTCTTAATCGCCAGCTGCTCGGGCGTCATTTTCTCTTCGTCCTCGAGAGACTGCAAAGAGGGGAAAATTCGAGAATGAGAAAATGATATATTGCAAAAATATTATTGATGCAATTGATTTTTCTATGACAATTTCAAAATTTTTCTTTTATAGTATCCATTTTCATTAAAATTATTTCTATTATTCTATTATATATTTTATACCATTATTATAATTTAATCAATAAATTATAATAGTAAATATATGTACATTTATTATAAATCTATAATATATGATAGGGGAAGCGTTTATACACAGATGAATAATATAATATATATTAAGCTAGAAGATAGCTTAAATAATTCAGAGTGCATTATAGATCAAAATGATCGAAAGGTAACCAAAAAATTAATTACACAGACTAAGTCTAATATCATTTCATAGCTTTGATTGATATAGAAGAAAATTCATTTGTTAGAGCGAGACAACATGCAAGTCAAATCAAAAATAAAAAGCAACAATTACTGGTTCATTTTGGGTGCAACAAAAATAAAGCTAGTTCAAAGGAACAAATTTCAGAACTTTTGCGGCTTTTAAAGGGCTGCAGTGAACATTTGTTGTTGCGTCAAGAGTTGCCACCTGACAAAAATAAAACAAACGTGCAAGGCTGCCAACAAAATGTGCAATTTTGAAAGAGTATGCGAAATTCGCTATGCTAAAATTAAAATTATTTACAAGTGTTTAACAAATTTGTAGCTCACCTTATTATAGTTCTTGGCCAAATCAAGCATTTCGGCGACTGTATCCTCATTGATGGAGCAGTGCTCATTGTAGTCGGCCAGTGTGAGACCATCCTTCCAGGACTTTTTGTGCAAGTTCAAGAGCATTTTCTGTTCCAGCTCGTTTTTGCGATAGTTAATGCTGATGGAATAATAATGACGATTCAGGCCATGGATCAGTGCCTGCACCGACGGTTTCTGCAAATGGCCCAAATTCGAGGTGGTCTGCCTGGGCTCCTGTCCGAGCACCAACATATTCGGGTTGATCAGGCGGAAGGCATCGATGACCACTTTACCCTTGACCGACTGTATGGGATCGACGACAACGGCCACGGCGCGCTCGGACAGCGCTTCGAAGGATTGCTGCGTATTGATATCCACGCCGGACAACCAGCATCCGAAGCCCGGATGCGAATGGTACCAGCCGACAACCATTTCTGGTCGGCCTGTCTGCTTCAACATGTCCAACATCTTGGCCTGAAAGACGGGGTCGACGGCCTCAACACTGACTCCCGTGCCCGTTTGTGGCATGGCGAACACATCGATAACCTGCACCGTGTAATCGTCGACAAACTCGCCCAGCATCAGGCCCATCACTTCCATGGGCACTCCAGCGCGGCCGTGCTTAAGCATCTTCAAAAGCGCCAGAGATGATATGTACACCTGCTCGGCGGTGTCCACGACGGGTGCATCTGTTGGGGGTGCAGCCTGTGGCATAGCGCCGCCTAAACGTAGCAAACGATCCATGATTCAACTGCAAAATAAATTCTTAAGCTGTGAGTAGGACGAAGGAAAGCAACTCTACAAGAAGTCTCACTTACGCTGTGGGTATTTTAACAACGGGTGTTTGTGAACTTTTTGTTTTTTAAGTAGAATTTTGCTGGCAGCAACAACAAACACAAAGCAGCTCTTGATTTTGCTTTTCGTTTTTTTGACAGTCAGCGTCGGCAAAGTGCAAGTAATACTTGGCCTATCGATAACTGTGCCCAGAGTAACACTGTCACAACAGCTGACTGAGTGACCAGCTACATTTATCGAATACGATAGCGATAGTTAACTGAAATGTGGATAAACTTGAGTAAATTTTAAATTAGCGCAATAAAATTCAAATGTAGTATATATCTAAAGAAAAAGTGTGTATTATGTTATAGTTAAACTCTTTAGCATTGCATTTAGAAAGAGAGTCACTTCATGTGCTCCTTAGGAGAGTTGCAATGCGTTCCGGTTGAGCGGACGCTAGTTATGGCGCCAACTTCTTTGGCCAGCCCATAAAAACTATAAATGCCATGTGAAACACCTTAATGGGGTAAGTGGGAAAAGCCATTGTACTTTAGGTCAATTAATTAGCAATTGCCTTTCACCTAGTTTAACATTTTAAAATGCCATCCGTTGGGCTCGTCGCTCAACTCGCTCGATTGCAACACATTTCTACCATTTGCTACTCCATTTTCTGTCTCGCTTTAGCTGGGGCAGCAGCCCGCCACCGCCAGCTTGAAACTGTTTTCCATCTTCAACAAAAGCGTTTTCCACATTTTCAGTTGCACTTTGTCGTTCGCAACACGCGTTGCTCTTCGATCAAACGTAGACTTTGTTTTCTTCTCTTTATGGTTATTGTTTTTGTTTTGGCTTTTTGCCATTAACAATTAGTTTAATTAAGCACGCTAAGTGCTTGGAAAATCGTTTGTGCAATATTGCCAAATCAACGTAAAAACAGGTAAATAATATACATAAATTGCCATACACGTTGAAATTATTTACACTTTTCGCTGAGGCTGTCAATTTGCTCGATTGCCCCTTATCAGAGGCAACAACAAAATTGTTATTTTTGATAAAGCTACGTGGGAGAGTGAAAGAGAAAAGGAGAGAGCGAGTACTGCGAGTGTGAGTGAGCTGCAGTGCTTGCAAAGGCTTTATTTATTTACGTTTGGCACATATTTTATTTTGTATTAAATTTTATATTTATTAAATTTTTGTTTTGATTTTCATTTCTTTAAATTTGTATATCAATTTAAAATTTTTTATTTCATACCTCAGAAAAATAGTTCTCTATTATTTATACATATACTTTTATAATTTTATTAGTTTTCATTTTATTTATTTACTTTTTTATTTATTTATTTATTTATTTATTTTTTTTTTTTTTTGTGAATGAACTCATTTTTCCCGATACTTCTCGTCTTTCCTTACGTATTTTTCCGTTTTTCGCTTAATTTTATGTTTACCTCCAAATTTTTATTTTCTACTGTATTTCTATTTTCTTTTATTTGTGGGCGTTATTTCTCCAATTAACGCTGATTGCGAGTTTTTTAAGCTTACGCTTCAATTCACATACCCCAAACTAAAACCTGACTTTTCGAAATTAATGTAAGGAGAAGACGAAAATACGTAAAACCCGCTATCTTCAAAGATTCAATCGAGATGCCAACACGTTGCAATCCATATCAAACAACGACCTTGTCTTGTCGTCGGGTTCAAAGAAATGCGTTGCAAAGCAATTAAATGCTATCGACAGTAAAGGTGGTTAAAACATAATACAATTACAGTAGAGACTGACTAGTTGGTACACACTTTAATAGATATTTTTAAATTTTAAATAAATCAAAGGAAAATAGATTGAATTTTGGTACATATCGTATACGAGCGTGCGTTCGTCTTAATCAGTCTTCCCTGTACGAGCAAAAGCATGACAGCAAACCAATTGAAAACGCTAACTAAAATTTTAAAACTTAACAATTTGTAGAAAACGAGTGAAAACGTTGCAATCGGGCATGATTGACTACGCAATACGCGTTCATAAAATATATAAAAAATATAAACTAGTAAATAAGAAAATATATATCTTAGTATTTACAGAATTTTGTAGGCTATATATCTCCAAACTTAATAAGCTAAGTCTTAAACTATGATAACTTGATAAACCTAACTTCTATAAACTCGATTATAGAATTCTATAGTGTTTATAGGTTTGTCTAATTTGTTTAGATTGCCAAGTCCGCCTAAGACATACGCTCTAAAATCTGAACTATATCTAATTTAACTATATATCAAATTACTGCTTCAACTTCAAGCAAACAGCTAAAAATTGCCCAAAGCCTATATACTTCCTTCATTTCCTGGGCGCGTATACAAAACAAAGGTAAAAACACGTTTGTTCAGCTGTGAAATTGACCTTTTATGGCCCTTGTTGGTGTCGTGGTTGTTGTTGTAGTTGTTGTTGTGGTTGTTGTAGTTGTCAGTCAGCGAAAGATATAAGCGGAAATAATTAAATATAATCGCTGGAGAAATGCTGTGAGCTGAACTGGAGCAACAGCTAATAGATCCAAGACTCTAAGACTAAAGCCACTTAATAGAGATTTAAATGGTCTCACTGCACAAATTAGTCTTAAGTGTATTGGTTTCTTAGATCAATATCATTTAACAATTCTTAAACGTTTTTAAAATGAACATTTTCATTTCACTCTGTTTTGTTTTCAATTTCTTGATCGCTTTATCATAATTATACTCGTTTATTGCAGGGAGTGAAGCGAGTATATTGGCTTATATACATAGGATTTGAACCCTGAACTTAATAATCGATTAGAATTGTATAAATTATACGAAAATGTCTGTATAAAGCTTTGCTTTGTAATGAAATTTTAATTTCATACTTTGGAAATTATTTTTGAATATCTTATGTACATTCCTTTTTTATGGAAATGGAGTTTTTCTTCTTCTTGCCTCTGTCGAAAAGTCTTATATCAAATATCTGCAAGTTTCCACAGAATGTTGCAACAAATGTTGAGCGATTGCAAAGTGTTTTCTAAGCGTGTGGCAAATGTTTCCCACACAGATCGCATTTCAATATGATATATGATTTACAAAGAAGAAACTCTAAAAGTGTAAAGAAAATTAGAACAGTTTTGTTTTTGCAAATGAACTTTGATTTTTCACTCAAATTTAAGCGAAGTCAACGGAAAATGAGTCGAGGAAATCAGTTTTCAAAACATCTACATAAAACATTAAGTATAAATTATATATATTTATTTTGTTTTAA